GGGGGGGGGGCAAGGCTGTGAAGGGGGAAAATCTTACAGGAAGGATGCCTACTGTTGCTATCGCCGAATACCCTCCACGCCCGTGCGAACACATGGGAGAGCATTGACACCATTAAGGGCGCCCATGTATCGTTGGCCATGCGCCACCGTGCTTGTGTGAGTATGTACCCGTGCACCTTACTCAACACTCCACCTCGTTTTTTGGACGCATCGACCCGGGTCACACAGGAGGGGAAGAAGGTCACACGGGAGTAATACTTAACTGTCACGAACTAAACTCTCATTGAAATACACTCTCACAAATACAACCACAGTCATATTTACTCTCGATAACCAATACTTGTAGAACTACATTAACTCTACCTCACTGCAATATACCATCACCAATATTTGATACTCTCCACGGACGAAAGGAGGCGTTTCATCAAAAACCACACAAAAAAAAAAAACTCACCGTCGAATGGGAAGCTCCCCGTAGTGCAGCAGGTGATCGAACGTGCGGAGGGCCATCTCGGACCCGATGTCGTCACCGAGAGTCACCAGGGAGATACCCAACACCGCAGCCGCCTGCTCGAGCACAAAAACAGTCACGAAACGTTTTGATACAGAAGAGTTGGCATTGAGAATGATGGCGGTGAGGGGCGCACCATGCTGCCAGAAGCGTTAACTGGCGGGCATTCCGTACCTATGCTCGGCCATCTCGTCGAGGTAGTGGTCGCAAAGATGGTAAGAGCAACAATAATCCCCGAACCAATCGACGGGCAACAAGAAGAAAAACAAAATAAACGGTGATGTCATACGTACCGTACAGTAGCTGATGCTTTAGCATTCTCGACTAGGAATCACAAAAACAAAAAAAAAAGGTGATACCGAACCAATCAACGGACAACAAGAACAAAAAAAAAACGGTCATGGCATATATAGGCTTAGCCTTCTCGCCTAGGAATATATATTAAAAAAAACGGTGATGCCTCACCTGGTGCTCCGCCTTCTCGTCGAGGTGCTCCGCACAAAGGTGGAGCATCTCCTGCACCTTTAGCACGTTCCCGGTGCCAGCGTAGGCGCACGTGTCAAGCACGACCTGAGTGTACCGCCCCATGCGGTGCTCGATGGTCTTGACGATCTGCCGGGCGGTGGCAACCACCGCGAGAACAGCGGCGCAACACGTAACGGACCCGAAGGGGAACAAGGAAGAACGCAAGGTCAAGCTTGGGGTGTGTATACATACTTCCACCTGCAGAACAGAAGCATGGGGAAAACGCCCAACTTACCGACATACGAGAGGGCAAGAACGAAACAATGCTATTGATAGTGCATAATAAGCTCAATAAGTCATTCAGACGCGTAGGGACAGTCGGCTGTCATCACCACCTCGGCAAAACCCGGGGTTGAAAAAAAAACGATAGCAACAGCCTCAGAAACAACAGCATACAGCGAGTCAGCAACAGAAAAAAACTGGCCATACAAGCTGGAAACATGCGGCCAAAAAAGAAAATATGGGCGCGGTGCTTCTGCAAAAAAAACAATGCTGTCTTGAAAGGCGGGGAGTGCCGCTGAAGTTGCTGACCTTCAAGTTTTTCGACGAACTGCCATAAATATATGCAGGCAAAGAGACATGCGTCGAAACCTCCGATATACTCCAAGAACAGAGAGATGCATAGATACCTAGGAGAAAAAAGTAGATACCTCCGTCATACACAAGCAACAAGGTTGCGCAAGATAACTCCATATACACACACGTGTGATGCAAGTATCTACGCATATCTCGTTGCTTGTGTGACGCAGGTGTGTGCGCATCTCTTTTTTCTTGAATGATTGAAAGTTTCTCACATCGATCTCTCTTGGATTCTGTGACGACCCAGTTGCCTTCGCAGCCTCTCAAATGTCGAGACGGTGCGAAGGCAACCGGATCATCACAGAGTCGAAGAGGGATAGATAAGTATCGTATATGACACAAGATAACACACCCCCTGGACCGATTTTCAAAACTCGATTTCTCAACAACAGAAAGAGTCACAGCGCCGAAAATCGCGGGGTTGGAACCGTCTCGTCGAGAGCTTTCCAAAAATGTATCGTTTCGTTAATGCATCCTCTTCGTCGTGGAGAAATCGAGCTTTGACAATTGGTCCAGGGGGTAAGTTATCCTGTGTCATATACGGTAGACACGTCCATCACACAAGAAGGGAGAGACAGATGTGACGATTGGGTTGGTCGCCAAACCATCTCTTTGATGTAACATAACAAAGACAGGGTGTAGACAACCCGATATTCGCACAAGCGAAGAGAGATGTAGATGCGGAGACACCTCCATCATACATACAAGATAGGACGTGCAGCCATCAAACAGGCAAATAGAGACACCTCCATGACACAAGCAAGATAGAATACATAGAAATTTCCATTTTGCGTGGACATTCCCTATCATACAAGAAGAGAGAGGACGTGAAGATACCATCATACGAGCACATAGAGACACTTTCATCACACAAGCAGGAGAGCATGCGTAGACACCTCCATCATACAAGAACAGCGAGGGCGTGTTGGCACCATTATACAAGCAAGTAGACCTCCATGACACAAGCAAGCGAGACACGTCCATCATTCAAGAACAGAGAGAGATAGCTGCGTACACCTCGATCGACAAGCGCGAGATATGGTGGGACACTTCCTTCACACAAAGCGAGACAGGATGGGTGAACACCTCCGTCAAACAACCAACGAAAGAGAGATGGATCCATACACCACGCATATACCTCCAAATCCCAAGGATGCAGCAATGAGAGGTGCGAAGACACCATGACACAACCAAGGAGAGGATGCGTAAAAAAACACCTCCACGACCAACAAAAGAGATACCATGAAAACATGCACCCACACCTCCATCATGGCATCCGCCTGCTCGTTCTTCCCGATGAACAGCAGCCCGAGCCCCAACGAGACCAGCCTCGCCATGGGCTGCTCCAGTTCCGTGTCGCTGCTCTCCATAAGCCGCTGCACCAGGACCGAGCCAACCTCCTCATTGCACGTCCCAACAAAGATCATGCCCAGGGACAGAGCGGCAAGCCCGACCTGGAAACGAAACCCCACCGTGGTTGATTTGATGGGCGGGGTTACACTCTTATCATGTTTTGCGGCCTTAGCTGTTGAGGCCTTTTGACACGCGTCCTCGGGGGGGACGGAGCAATGTTGCCACAGGAGCGACCACCGAGTTTGAACTCATATATAAAAATTGTTATTGTGAAGAACATCATGTCTAATTGAGGGTAGCACGGGATGGGAGAGGTGTGAGTGGCCCCTCGGAAGGGGCCAACAGGTTGCGGAGAAACATCTCTGTTCTGTCGTAAGAACCAAGCCAGGAGGTGCGTGCGTCCTTGCCGCAAAAAAACGAACTACACATCTCGGCATTGCATCGCCCAACACGACAAGGTGGATTTGTCGCGCCAGAAATATTGGTCAAGACCGGGGGGAGGGGGGGCGTACCTCCACCATGTTGGCGTTCTCGGTGTTGGCCACCAGGGGGGTCAGCAGCTCCACCACGTCCTCCCGCCGGGCCCCCGCGTAGGCCACGCCAAGGCCGACGCAGGCGCCGCACCGCATGGCGTGGGAGGGCGACTCGACGTGGTCGGCGAGGAGGGCGAGGGCGGGGTCGCTCTCGTTGCGCACCCCGCTGTTGTTGTTGTTGTTGTTGACGATTTGTTGTTATCCAAGGGCCAACCAAAAGGGAGAAGGACCGGGTGAGCGTGGCTTAGATGCTTCGGCGCGGGTAGAAAACTCACAGCGTAGCAAACACCAACAGAACCACCACCTGCAGGGAGTACACACACAGAGTACCTTATCTAGTCATGCACAAGGAATCGGCAACGCAATCAACGGTCGCCCCCGTTCGCAATCAAAACCAAGGCCTCCGCAAAGACGCTGCAAGAGGGGAGGGCAAAAGGGAGCAAAGCTACGGAGCCCCACCCATCCATCCCACCTGCTGACGATACCGACGGCAAGCACAGCTCCGGCCTTGATGTAGTCCTCGTTTGAGTGGAAGAACTTGTCGATCTGCCAGGGTTCGAGGGACGACAAGGAAGACGACAGGTAAAAGTGTGAGCGGGTGTGCGCGTGTGTGTGGGTTTTGAATGGGTTAGGCGATCGAAACCCTCTTATCCCCGTCCAGTCTGCCTGCCGCCTGCCGGAACAAACAAAACACCAAAAATAAATAAATAAATAACGAGAGAAGCAAAAAAAGTACCAGCAACAAGAATTTAAGAACCAAGCTGTACGAGAAGCAAGGAACACATGAAAACGCAAACATGCACGGTATTTGAGCTCAGTGGTTCGATACAACTTGTCATGGTACACTCCATTCCATCCGGCACTCAGATATTAATATTGACGTTCTGCACCCGTCGAATTCGCCGTGTGCGGCACTACAACAAAGACAACGCCACAATCGTTACTGCCACAAATCATTCCGCAACCAAAACAAAAAACTCAATACGCTGTATGCTTATATATTCCCACGTTGATAGCGAACTATTGGATGAGAAATGGGTGCTCCAGCCCCAAGAATTCGAAAGACATGACTCCTTCCTGCCATGCACTAATTGGGGATGAAAGGAAATAGTGACATGTTGCGTGCTCTTCGGGCTCAACACTCAATGCTTTTCCAATAGTTCGTTATCAACGTGGGAATATATATGGTACATCGTATCGGGTGTATTTTGTTTTTTGCTTTCGGTTACGCAGTTTCCAGTAGTGAGGATTGTGGTGGTTTTCGCTAACAGTGCCGGACACGCTGACGGGCACAGATGCACAGCAACCCTCCTTTGGAAAGAAAACGCCTCGGCGGCTTGCTGCGGCAACGCCTAGCTATACGCGCCTGCATGAGACCCTCCTCGACGTTCCACAGCAGGATCGTGCCGAGAGACGCGGCCGCGCTCATCATTCCGTGGTCCTTGTTCTTGTACAGCCAGGCGTTGCCCTCCGTCGTCATGAGCTGTCCGTGTTCGGGCAAGCGGTCATACAGAAAACAAGGGGAAGAGGAGGCGCGCACGTGCGAGGCCAACGCCATCGTCAGCCGTGGACCTTGCGGTGATGACCTTGGGGGGAAAGATATGGTCTGTCTGCTGGCCTCCCCGTCTGCTTGTCAGTGTATGTTTGCCCATCTGGCTGGCTGGCTGTCCGGCGGCAACCGCACCAACACAGAACAGAAATAACGACTTCTAACAATTCTTTAGTCAAAACAACAACAACAAAGAGAGAATATCCACATCAAGAAAAAAAAACATCAAACATCATGTAAAAGGAAGTCCCGGTCTTCCTTCTCAGCGGCTGCAAACAAAAAATACTGTCAACACGCTCTCCCAGACATTTCACTCCAACCTGGCTCGTGCTTTTCAGGACATCGGTTCGTTTGACAAGGCGCACCTCGTAACAGGGCGCAATCTGTGCCGATCAGCGAGTATCAAAAGCCAGCAGCCAACGGAGGTTAACAACCGAAAGACAATTAGGGCAAACAAATAGACGTACAATTTACACAAAAAACATGGAAGAAAAAAACTACAAAAATAAAAAAAAACACCAGTTGGATAAAGATGCATTCGTTGCGCCAACATTAAGGACCACCGACCTGGTCCTGACCGTATCCGGCGTTGACGAAGGCGTTCACGAACGTCGACGCCAGGTTAGCCCGGGCGGAATCCACCTGCTGTGCCCCCCCATCCCTCCGCCGAGACACACCTCCTGACTCTGCGAGGTGGCTCTTATAGATGTCCTCCGGTGTCTGTGCTTCCGCAAAAGAGCGGGAGGTCCGGTTCCCGCGAGATCACCGCGTGCAAGGACGAGCAACAACAACAACGTGATCACCGCGCCCAAGGACGAGCGACAAAAAAAACGTGATCACCGCGTGCAAGGACGAGCAACAACAAAAGCGTGATCACCGCGCCCAAGACGAGCAACAACAAAACGATGATCTTCCACTCCCTGCTGTAAATAAGTCCACACATGCATCTCTTTCGACTGCTGTGGTGGGGTTGTTCTGTATGACGAACGAGTACTGTACTTAGTGTTTCTGTGCGTATGGATTAATTTTCAAATGAAAAGGTGGATGTCATGCTATTTGCTGCCCGTTGCTGTGCACATGCGTGAGTGAGTTTGTTGGAGCGCAACGGGCACGCAACCAATGACAGGTGGATGCCACGCTGTACTGCTGTCTATTGTGCAGGGTTGTGCTTGGGAGGGAGCGGAATGAGAATGCACCCAACCAGAGATAGGGTTGGCGCTTGGCCGCGTCAGGCTCTGTGGAATAGACATGGGTCTGCATCTGTCTTGACAATCGTATTTCTCTTCAATGAAAAAGCGCACTCAGCAAACGCGTCTATGGGTTTACCACTGCTCACATTCGTTTCGACAACAACAACAACAACAACAACAACAACAACAACAACAACAACAACAACAACAACGTCCCCAAAAATCACCACGATAGACACACCTTGGCCTCCATGACGTCAAGGTCTCTAGCGAGGGCGAGGTAGTGCTCCGACAGGCTGCCGTTCCCGATGATCTCGTTCACCTCATCGTCGTCGGGGTGCTCGTAGGAAGCACGGTGGCGCGCCATTATGAAGCTTGGAAGGTCGAGACGACAAAACAAAACGCACCCAAACACAGCACGGGTGAAATCAAAAACACATGAGACACGAGGAAGAGCAGTTGATATCGCGGGACTGGCTGGGAAGGTTTAAGACATTGAAAAAAATTATCCAACACAGCACGGATGAAATTAAGACCACAAGAGTCAAAAGGAAGCGCAAGAAATACAGCGGGATTGTCGAGACAATTCGGTAAGATGTTGGGAAGGTAAGTCTACAGCAAAGAAATTGATCCAACACAGTGCGGATGTTACTCAGGAACACAAGTCAGGAACACAAGGCACACGAGGAACAGCAACGCATATCGCGGGATTGAGGAGACACCAATCGGCGAACAGCACAAGCATTGAACATGAAACAGGGGTATGCATAGATCCCTGGTTCGCAAGTCGGCCGAAAACACAGGCTACGCGTCCACATCTCACAGACGACAGCTGTGCTTTGGACCTCAAGCGGGCTGGCATGAGGGCCACACCCTGTCTTGTCCTTTCTTTGGACAACGAATCATGACTCCAAGAAAAAACGCAAAAGCGAGGAAAAACTCGCGACGACATCAACCAACTTCGAGACAAGGTATAAAATTCAAAATTCCATGCGTTCGTTACGTAGTACGCGAAAAAAAACTAAGCATGAAAAAACAAAAAGAAAAACGGAAGGAAGGGGAAGCAAGTGCGTGCTGTCAACCACGCGAGGAGTTTCAACAGCGCCACGGTCCAAAACCGCGTCAAATGGATACGCGAGAACGGAGAACGTGCACACTTCCAAACAAACGCCGACAAGCAGAATTACAGGCACGAGAAACCCAAACATGCCCCCCTCAACCCCCCACCAAACAGCTGGGGGCTTCGGACACAAACTGACGGCAAGACGACCTTGACTTGACCTACACACCTCATCTGCTGCGTCATGCCCTTGTCTTCGCACTCGGCTAGCAGCTGCGCCAGGAGGTCGCTGTCGTCCATCCTCAAAGCCACCCGAACCGCGTCGCAGTACTTGCCCCGCATGCGGTACAGCTCGAACGCGGTTGTCATCATTTCCTGTTGTCGCGGGTGGTATTGACGGGTTTCAACGACGGGGCAGAGGAAGGCGGCATCAGGAAAGGCTGAATGAATGGTGCGGGGACGCGTCAGTTGGGTGATTGAGAAGGTGGGTTGAGGGAGATATTTTGAGATGGGCCGGTGGCGGGGGCGGCTATTCTTGCACTGTCCAGAACATTCTGAATTATGAATATCGGTACGTTGCAGATACCATCGGCGTGGGGAGCCAGCATTCACACATCGACATGAACGTTTACAGGACATGTTTCCAGACAGAGGTGGATCAAGATTGTCATCCCCGGAGAGTGCACTACTTTAGCGACAAAGGCTCAGAAGTCGCCAAGGCACGGCAAGTTAATATCGTGCATCCACATGCGCTATCTCATCCTCCTTCGAACAGACAGCAGCGGCCTATCATCCAAGACAAATCAAACTCATGATGACAGCATACCAAAACGTGGCTTGTCCCAACCGAAGTCCCAAGCGAGCGACACAAACCTCCGCTTAACACCTTACAATACACCTCACGCTCTCTCATTGCAAGTGTCCCGTCGCTACACCGCGACAGCAGCACGTGCTGTTTCGACTCTCTTCCTCCAACCGAACATGTGGGTCCCATGACCTCGACCGGCCACCAGAGTGTGAAGGATCGGTGCTTCCACCGAAAGCGGGTATTGACATGAGCAGCAGCAATTTCCTTCGCAAGATGCTACCAACAGCTCAACGGGACCATCATGGACAGCAGCGACGACGGCAGCGATGTTACCTACAGCTCGAGAACCTAATCAACCCCTGCCGCCCTCACCATCAGGTCGTCTGGGTCCGACATGTAGTCCGCCATCCTCAGCAGGTACAGGCACACGCGCTCGTAGTTCTTGTCGTCTACATATGGCAGGTCTAGCAGCTTTTTCAAGCGCTGCGCATGCACGGAGAATGAGCGAGAGGAGGGGGAGGGGCATGGCGGGAGGCATGGACAGCAGAGGCACAGGGAGGCAGACAGACAGAGAAAGTGAGAAGCCACGCGGTGACAAACGTGAGACTGGGAGAGTGACGAGAACGCACACATCGACACACATTGCTCACTTCGTCCCGAAGGGAGATGCCCGGCGAAAGAAACAAGTGCTGAGGACTCTCGTAGGAGGTCAAAAGAGACAGCGCTCCAGCTAAAAAACGCGACAAGGACGTATGACTCCACACCGTGCCACGCATCCAACGCGGTCGCAATGCTGCTGGGAGAAAAAGTCGATATACTATTTTACTATTCTTGCTGTTGATCAGGTTAGGGCACGGTTTTCGTGCCGGCGCTACTACCAAAAACAAAAAGGGAGTTGCGACAGAGCAGTTGGCTGTCAAGTCAGCATGAATAGAGCAAACGCTAGGCATGCGGCGTCGGGCATTACCACCAAGAGGGCGAGGGGATGAAGACACTCCTTGCCTACCCGTGACATGCATACACTCGGCATAAAAACACATCTCAGGAGGGCCTACGTAAGCAGAAATAACCCCATCCAACAAAACCCTTTCCTTTCCACGGTGCAGACAACCTCCAACACATTTCTGACACCCGCTGAAAACAGAGCCCCCTTCAAAACCCTTTCAACCTCTAACCAAACAGGCAAGGGCCCCTGCAGTCCCCCTTCTTTCGAACACCTCCGTCGCAAAATCGTTCCGAATTCACTTGTTGCATCGCTGTCTCTCCCCCTAATACCCTTTCGTTACTCGTCTCTGTTCTCTGAGGTCGCTTTGGTATTGTGGGGCTTTTGATTGATCTTGGGCGTTACCGGCGGGACGCTGTTCTGCGGCGTGCGTGTGCGTACCAAGAGCGAGCGCGTCGCCACCCAGTGTTTCGATGCGATGTAAGAACCGTTCGGGACAGGGGTTTTGGGCGTGCGTATCAAGAACGACCACAGCCTACGACGACACCAACACGCTGGCCACAACCAACAACTTCAACCAAAACGACAGCGACCGACCTCACACCTGCACTTCGACCAAGAGGTCGACCGCCTCCGCCTCCGCGTTGTGCTGCAGGTGGAACGGCACGATGTCGTCCACTAGCGCAATCAGGTCCGACACGTCCGCTTCCGCCCCGGCCGCATCCGCCATCTCCTCGTCCCCTTCCCCGTCCGCACCTTCCGTGACGGCGCCTATCCGCCTCGCCGAGTACTCCTGCCCGATCTCCCCGGCCAAGGAGCGGAGGAACTCGTGCCCCCAGCGACCTAGGTCCCCCTTGGTCCCCTCGAGCTTGTACTTCAGGCTGACCCGACTGCCGGGGTCCGCCATCGTCATGGCCAACACCTGACAAAAAGTCGAACATGTGGGTGGTCGGTGAAGCGAGCTCCGGTTTCAATCGAATCCCCGCGGTTCTTCCCCCCCCCCCTCCCCCATTTTCTCCCCCCCAAAACTCAGTTTGTGCTCTCGTGCGGTTGATTCGTTGCTTTCCGAATAATCGTAAAACATTCCCTCTCACGGACAAAACGCTGGCAACCAAGCCAGCATGATGTTATGTTGCCCATGGTGCACCCCAAACACCATGAGTGAGGAACTCATAACCTGTCTTTTATGAAATACGCACACATATGTACACTCCCTGCCGCTGTTCGTAGACACGTAGAAAACACGCAACTCCATGTTTTCGTCGACACGAAAAACAGGGGCCGGGTGAACACAGCTGTCTCGACAGCCCCTCCTCTTGATTCTCCCCTCGAACAAAAAAAAAGAACAAGCTGAGAAGCGCGTACGTCCGTCCAGCTGCCACCATCTCACCGACAAGATATCCGCCAATGCACGCTTGTTGCCCTCGGGCGTCGCCTCTCCCTCATCCTGCTCCACCTCCACCATCTTCTCTTCCGCGCCAGCAGCCGCGGTCGCCGGCTGTTTCACCAGCGGGGTCGCCACCGGCTGCGGACCGGTGGCGGCCGGCCAGCTCTCGTAGGCTGTGTGTCAATATATATATATCACATATATATTGACAGTGGTTGGTTGGGTTCCAGGAGGAGGAGAAGAAACAAGGGAGGGGGGATCAACTGGAAAATGATCATCGAGGGCGAGGATGTAGAGGTAGGGAACTTTAGCCAAAGCTCAACTCGCGCCCTGCGGCCTTCCAGCGGCCACTCACAGCGAAACCAGGGGAAAAGTCCTACTCTCAAATCGATAAGATAGCTCAAGAGCGCAGCTGGTGCCCCAACTTTGAGGCGCCGGTCGGCCTTCCGCTTCGCGGGGCCCGCGGGAGAACCTCCCTCCGCAAGACCCCGCCGTGTCAGGTTACGGGCGCTGAGCGCCGGCTGAGCTGCCAGCGCGTCGAAACCGCTCCACACGACCTGTTCGCACCTGCATTTGCCCCTCTAACACTTCGCGCGGGACTACTGCAGTTAGCCGACACGAGAATGTTCATCTGCCAATTATTCTGTCTTTTTCCTGCCGCGTTTCTGAGAACTTGAAGTGATGTGTCGCGGAACGTGTATCTAGCAGGTATCTAGCTGAAGCCTGTAACACATACATCCTCATGTGCTCTGCCTTTTTTGCACTTCGGCGATGGTGCATAAGCATGAAGTCATGGTGTGTTTTGTGGACTGTCAACAGCTGTCACTGCTGTGACGCCGCACCTGGATGTATGTGCGTGCGCGCAAGCGTCTTCCGAGAATAGGAATACGGCAACTTGCGGCATTCTGACAAAAAAGCTGGCTGTCGGAGCACATCACTCATGTTCTGCTGGGTCTCTCTGCTCTGGGGTGTGTGTGTGTGTGTGTGTGTATAAATAATACTGCTGGTGTTGCTGTAGTCTCAAGGCTATAGCTATGGAACACGCCACACTGGGACACAATACAGGTCCACACGTACAGACGTGCGCCCAGATTCAACTCTACCTCCTACGTTCAACACAGTTTCAGGGAGGCGCGTAAGGAACATGATGAAGCACGCTTCTCCCGACTTCAAACCTGCAATCTATCGTTCTTTTCTACTGCTGTACACCACCACCTGAACGAACCACCGTCGTCTCACTTGGTAACTGCGTTTGAAGCCTGCAACTGCTACCTCAAATACACCGTTTCTTATGCACATCCACGCTCAAACGGAGGCCGGGGCGGGGGGGGGGGGGGGCCCCCC